TCAGGCAAAACAAATAATAAATTTATTACTTCTTAATAATTTCTATCCAGTGTTGTCATACTGATACGAGTTGAAAAAAAATGCGACGAATTATTATTTTGGTCACTCGTTATGGTCCGCGAACCAATTGCCAATGTAAGAGGTTAACTAGATCATATTTGGTGGCTCATATTTTCTCAGTTTTGAGTATATTTAAATATAACTCAGGCAAAACAAATAATAAATTTATTACTTCTTAATAATTTCTATCCAGTGATGTCATATCGATACGAGTTGAAAAAGAAAGCGACGAATTATTATATACGGTTTGGTCACTCGTTATGGTTCGCGAACCAGTTGCCAACGCAAGGGAGTTAATACCGCTTCTCTCTGACTAATAATATCGTCTAAACTTTTTTCCTGCAATCACACCAACAAGAAACACACGTATAACATCTCTCGACTACTAACCATACTAAATGTTTTATGTTAAATGCAGATTTGTGGCAACTCAGCGAAATCCAAAAAAAGAAAAGAAGAGCTCAAACTTCTCGCTTTTGATCCGGCAAATATTCTTGCGACACTGGGTATATAAACTAGGAATACGAATTTGCTGATAATAAATCGTGAACAAAATTTATTCGAAAGCAGTTCTTTGGTGGGAAACTGGCGGTTTTGAATTGATTTTCAAATGATCGTTGGGAGTTCAAGAATTTTTTTAGTTTTGCTAAAATTTGCTGCGACCTCGTATGGGGAAATATGGAGAAATATTCCCAGTGAAAATATCCAATCTTTCGATAGAAAAGTGTGTTGTCGATCATCGATGCAGTTTTCCACTAACTATGGTTCACAGTCTTGCATGACTACGCGAAATCCCTCGAACCAATCACCATTGTTTCCTCCTGACCGTTTCGATTCTTTTTCTCGATGGAGATCACACTCCAAAGCGCTTTTCAATGTCTCACATACTCGATTTTAGTTCACCCGACGTCGCTAGAACTCTCTTTATATAGAAAATATATTCACTCTGATTCATCAAATCAAACTCACCACCGTCAGATTTACGACTCGCAGGAAATTGAAATTTAACAATCTCGAAATTTCACAACGAACTGTATTGCAGAGAATATCACAAAGATCGCTAGTTAACACGTTGACTGCCATGCGATTTTTTGAACTTGCACCATGGGGCCACAATACAAATTTGATCTTAACAACTCTATAACGATGAAGAACTGAACAAACAAATTAACAGTATAATCTTGCCCCGTGATGCAGTTGATCTTCGCAATAAATTTCAAAAATGATGGACAAAGATTTAACCTTCAAAGGAGTAAGATTATTATGTCGCGCTATTACTCGAAATATTGTATTTTTCGGAAATGCTATTTCAAGAAAACCTTGTAACGAGGAGTTTACGTTTTGTGCTAATTCTTTCTACACCATTACGGTATTTTAATATTGGTACGTTACTTTCTAAATTTTAATTTCCATTTCTTCTTTCTCTTTAATTTTATTCTATTTTCATTTTTTTTTCTTTTTATTATTATTTTTCTCGCAATTTGTCATTGCCGAGCAGCGTACTTTCTAATTTGATGAGGCGATGAGGTATACATATTCGCGTAATTGACTAATTTTCGAAATGGCATTTGTTTTGAGTGATTTTAAACAATTTACTCGCCGTTGGTCACTCGAGAGTTTTACACGACACTTGTCGAATAACTTTCCACTCATTTTTTCCCAATTTGACGTAAAGATTTTGCCGCCATTACCACTGTGGCAACGAAACTGTGACAAAATTCAAATCTATTCGCGATCTAATCGACATCGGGACAAA